AAGAGTGTCCAGTAGCTGCGTGTAAGGCTGTGCCAGCCCACGCGCTGCGTCACTGAGCTTTGCAGTCATGTTTGTGGCTAAGACCGAGAGTGTGGGGCAAAGCATGAAAAAGGGAAGCTGGTAAGCCAATAACTTAGGTTTGTTGTTTTATCCACAGTTACCTGGTAATTTGAATTAAGCATGAATAAAGATCTGGTCAGATGGGTTTGTAGCCAATTCGTTGGTTTTATCATCAGAAGTTGAAAGACAAATTGATGTTTCCAGTGAAAATATTCTCTTGGTTTGTTAGAATGAGAAAGGAAGGAAGAGAGAAAGGAAGAGGAGAAGAAAGAAAAGAAGGAAAGAAAGGGAAATTAATTTCAACTTTGTCTATATTTACAAGAAACTTGAGAAATCGGGCTCCTCCAGCAGAGAAATGAAAGTCCAAAGCTTAGTGCTGGCAAAGAAACACATAATTCACTCTGTATCTCCTGAGATGCAACTTCCTGGATAGGAAGATGTGAACAAATGTGGACCTGAAAGAGTGACTCCTTCAAGATGTGATCCCCAGTGGCTGACTGGACCTAAGTTTAAAATAGAGCCACGCAGCCCTTGGCTGACCGGAAGTCACACGTGTACTCTGCATTCCCGGAACACCCACACCTCCATTCGATCCGGGACTTGAGAGCTCGCCCGAAGCGGCCGACCGGAGCTGACCTGTCCGGCCAGCCGGGGCTCCGCTCTCCGCAGCGAGCAGAGCTCGGGCGCCGCCCGAGGTAAGCGGGGCTCGTCCTTGATCTGCATGCACACACCTGACTGGGAACCCGCACGGAAACTTTTGCTATAAAATATACCTCTGTTTTTCTGGGTTTTGTTTTTAAATTTCAATAGCTTTATGGGCACAAGTGGTTTTTACTTGCATGGCTGAAGGTATAGTGGTGAAGTCTGGGCTTTTTGTGTTCCCATCACCTGAACAGTGCGCACTGTGCCTGATGGATAGTTTTTCATCCTTCACCCCCTTATACTGTCTCCCCTTTTGAGTCTCCAATGCCCATTATACCATTCTGCATGCCCAGCGTGCCCATAGCTTGGCTCCCACTCATGTGGTGTTTGGTTTTCCATTCCTGAATTAGTTCACTTAGGATAATGGCCATCCATCCAAGTTGCTGCAAAAGACATAATTTCATTTTTTTGTATGGCTGAGTAGTATTCTATGGTGTGTGTGTGTGTGTGTGTGTGTGTGTAAAACATTTTCTATATGCACTCATTGGTTGGTGGGCACCTAAGTTGATTACTTATCTTTGTAATTGTGAATTATGCTGTGATAAGCATGTATAATGACTTATTTTCCTTTGAGTAGATTGCTGGATTGAATGCAAGCCTACTTTTAATTCTTTGAGAAATCTTCATATTGTTTTCCATAGAGGTTGTACTAATTTACCTTTCCACCAACAGCATGTAAGTGTTCCCTTTTCACTGCATCCACACCAACATTGATTGTTTTTAAAATTTTTAATAATGGCTATTCTGACTGGGGTAAGATAGTATCTAATTGTGATTTTAATTTGTATTTCTTTGATGATTAGTGATGCATATTTTTTCATATGTTTTTTGGCCATTTGAATATCTTCTTTTGAAAAACCTTTGTTCATCTAATTTACCCACTTTTTAAAGATTCATAACACTTTAAAACACAAAAATATACAATTTCTCAGGTTCATTATGGTATGCCTGTTAGACACTTTATAAAATATTCATGTAGACATTAAAATCCTAATGTTCGGATTGTCAAAAATGGCGGACTAGGGATGACCTCCCGGCTCTCTGCTCTTGGATGGGAGGTGGAGAAGGCGGCCTGAATCACTCGAGTGGGTAGTTCTCCCACAGGATCGGCTTCACGCAACTGCAGGGAAGTTTCGAGGGGCAGCAGTGCTGGGAAAAGGAGGAAAGTGACTCAGTGGATTTGCAGTGAAGATCCGAGAATCCGAGAGCTACAGCGGGATTGAGTGCAAGCTGGCCGCGCTCAGCGGCAGCCACATGGCCGTGTGATCCTTCCCACAGGGGGACGACCTCTCCTTCCCCGACCTCCACGCCCACGCAAGCAGGGAAGGGCCTGAAGACAGCGTGAAGAGGTAACACGGACGGGCAGGCAGGTTGGAGAGGAGGCAGGAGCGGAAAGTAATTTGAAATCTCCAGGGCACGGTGTGGGGTCGCCTTTCCTGGGAGATCTGTACGCACCAGCGGTTTATGCCTCGCTTGTGAAGGGACAGAAAAGAGAGACAGATTGCTCATTTGACTGAGTTGTCCAGTGGACTCTGGCGACCCAAGTGCTGCGAGGGAGGGAGTGGAAGGGGGGCGAGCGCCATCCTGCGGGACCCTCCCCAGGGGTCTCCAGTGGCCCAAGCTCCGCGGGTGACTCACGGAAAAGGGATAGTTTTCATCCCTCAGCGGAGCCTCTCAGTGGTCCCTGGCAGCTCAAGCGCAGCTGGTGAGGGAGGGAAGAGGGAAGGGGCTCGCTCCTTGGTGAAGCCTCCTGGCAGATCCCAGTGTCTCAAGTCCCAGCAGGGAGGGGAGGGAAGAGGGGGAGAGATGGCTCCCCAGGTGGTGTCCCCCGTCAGGCAGTTCCCCTTCCCACCCAACTGCCTCTGCTTTGCTCCTGATGAATAGAACCCGCCCTAACAGGGTGGAAATAGGAAGGAGAGCGATCTTCCAACTCTCATGTGGGACAACTGTACCCCCAGCACGTTCTGGGGTTTTGAGATAGGTGCCCCTCTCCAAATCTACAGACTCCACCCCCAGGCGGAGTAGTGAAACAAACCATTATTCAAGCGGAAACCAGAGGCTGGACTTCTATCTCCTATTGCTTAGTATCCATTGCTGGCCTGTTTTTCACCAAAGGCCCAGACCCCTGCCCTGAAAGGGTTTAGTAACAGCCTCTCGAGACAGATACCCAAGCTGAGACACGAATCCATATCCTAGAGGCGACCTGGAAGGCAGGGTCTTCATCCAAAGGATCAGCCCCCAGCCCTGGAAACACGCAGTAGTGAGGGAGCCGCTCTTAGGGCTGAGGCCCGCCTGGGTTGCAGAAGGTCCCTGTCTGCGACTGGCCACTGGTATTCCACAGGGTAGGGCCTGACCCCTCATATGCAGGAGCAGAGTCACCAGGCAGGTCACTCTGTTCTGTGTCCATCAGCGCCCCTGGGCAAGGCCTCTTCAACATCCCTGAGCCTTTTACTTCACACCATCCAGATAAACTCCATCCTTGGAGAGGTGGAGTAAAAAGAGTTGATGCCCTACTACAGCAAGTTGGTTGGGATCATCTGTTAAAAGCAGAATACAAGGGCTTATCTTTGGTATCCAGGTAGTTGCCAAATTACAGACTTGTGTTCTAAGAAGGAGAATCTCAAACCCCCCCCCCCAGCCACAGATCAAGCAACATCTGAAGTCTAATCTCTTAAGCTTGACGATACCTATTGCTTATCTCACCCCAACTAAATAGGTAACAGGGACCAAGGATCCCCTGGGAGAGGCACGGCACTCACCAAAGGCTGAGAGTCCTGTTTACCACATTTAAAGCTTTAGAGCTCATTACATAGGTATTGGAAAAGCTTGATAACCCACCTCCCCTCACAAACCACAGGCAACAAATGGAGACAGTAACCTCATAGCTCATCAGAGTGCCTCTCTCTTCATATGAGTAGTTGATAGGGGAATCACGCTCACAAGAAGGATTTAGTTCCAGGGAGTCTAAGCAAGGGTTCCAATCTCACTAATCTCTAGTAAAAGTTGGTGAAGACAACAGG